TCAGTCAGCTCCCACTCCCAGCCCCCCACGCAAAGAACAACCGATAATATCGTACTTTTCTAATTACCCTTGTTTTTTCCTGAAAAAAAATGCAAATTTGTCAAAATCTTAATAATATATAACTTTTTCTCGTTGCATGTTCAAAAAAAAATATAACTTTTTCTCGTAGTTTAATTCGGGGTGAATTTTTTCTGAAGTCTGCGAAGATCCTATTGTGAGGAAAGAAATTCATTCAAAAATATTTACCCTGCAAGATGGGGGATGAAGGTAATTTTTTATTATAATTTTTTTTTTCATCCAATAGGTCTCATGAGAACCGTATATAATAATAAAATTAATTAATTTTTATCCAATCCAACTCAAATTGCTAATAGCTGAGTCCAATTCTTATCCTAATTAATAAAATTTTTAAGAAGTTATTTTCTGTACTTAATACTTAAAAATGTTGTTAATTAAAAGCTTGAGTTGTTATTGCATGACAGTGTTGCCTTGTTGGATGTAACATAATGGATGTTTGTGCATTTGGTGTTGTTTATGGATTCATTGAATTAGTATGCATTTGCTAATTTTAAATTTGTGCTCTTTTTTGTGTTGTTTATAAATTTACTAGACTATAGAGATCCTATTACTTATTTGTGTAGAACTCCTTTATATTTATGGAGTAGATTTATAGAGTATTTGTAAAGTATTTTACATGTTTTTCTATTTTTATAATTTTTTATTTTTGTCTCATAAGTCTTTATATATTGTTATAAAATTTATTTAAAAAAAAAATTAAATTATATAATTAATATTCAACTAGGACCACTCATTTGTTATGAGCATGGGAATGAGTGATATTTTTTACCTTATGTCAAAAATCTTCACAAAAATTTTTGTACCTACTATTTGCAAGAACAAGGATGGGAAGGGTTAAAACCAACTTTTAGTCTTTCACCATAGAAAATTGGTAGGTTTTAACCATAACTTTATAATATGACACTTTTAACTTTTTACTTTACAAAATTAGTAGGTTTAACCCCTTACCTTACAAAGTTGGTAGGTTTTAGTTCATCATCTTATATTATGACACTTTTAGTCCCTTATCTATTCGAATTGAAGAAAATAATTCCCACTTAACATCAAGTTATAATATTCTGTCAGTTCTGTTAGCTAAATGTTAGCTAACTGTTAACATCTGTTAGCATTCCATTAATGAAACTAACATATTGAATTTAAATTTCATGTTTTTCTATAACGGAATGCTAACGGATGTTAACAGTTAACTAATAAAACTAACAAAATGTTATAATTAATGTTAAGTGAGGGCTATTTTCTTTGATTTGTATAGGTGAGGAGTTAAAAATGTCATAATATAAGGTGAGGGATTAAAACTTACCAACTTTATAAGGTGATGAGCTAAAACCTATTAACTTTGTAAGATGAGGGGCTAAAATCAACTTTGTAAGGTAAAAGGGTTAAAATGTCATGTTATAAGATGAGGGGGCTAAATGTTTGTTTTTGCCTATGGGAAGGGGGTTCTTGCGGTTGCCATCCCTAAGTATAATCATATTAGCATGCTAATCGATTTTTTTTTTTTTTTTAAAACAGTTTTGTCATGGGGCGGGTTCGAAACCCGTCCAGAGAAGGGGGATGTGCACTTTTCAGTGGCTCTAGCCATTGGGCCACACGGGCCAAGTGCGCATGCTAATCGATATTTAAAACTGCATAAAAGTGTAAAATAAATTGATACTAATAGAAATGATAGTAGGTAAGAAAATTCAGACAATTATATTAATTTTATTTTATTTTATTTGATCTTAGGTTGCAAGTTAACTTTATATAAAAGAAATAATTAGGTTATAACCGTTAAGGAGAAACCTTGGGCCAGCAGGAGCAAACATTGGGCCACGAGGACACACTAATAAAGATTTAAGAGCAGTGCTACGGGCACTCGCTTTTTGCGCTCTCCGGCGAACACTTCCCCTTTCATTGGGCCACGTAAGCTTCTTTAAAGCTTTCCGGCGCAACCTCTCGAAACCAAAATAACGTGGCCCAATAGAAGAGAAAGTGTTGGCTGGAGAGTGCAGGAGGCGAGTGCCCCTAGCATTGCTCAAGATTTAATGTGTGCGACACCATGTTGAACATAAAAAAATAGTCTACTAAATTCATAATTCTATATATATAATAAAAAAATATTTTTTAGGTTAAACTATATATTCTTTAAAAGTGACTTAGTAACTGTTTACACCTATTTTTGCAAAAAAAAAAAAATAGAATGGTGCCACGTGTCATCCATGTTGACAAGAATTTCATTGGTTGAAAGCAGTTTGAGTAAATCTCTATAAATAAAGTTAAGTGGTTATTTCCACAACTACAGCAAAGCCATTCGTTTGTTGCGAACTTCAAGGAGGATAATCGGCAACACAAACAGACTAATCAGTTTGTTTCAGATTTCATGCTACCGTTGATTGTCAAGATTGCGGCCGCAGATCTGCCAAGGAGTGTTTATTGCTATAAGCATGCAGAGAAGAAACGAAGCGAAAGAGACCAGCCTCTCACACAACTAGCCCAACACTATCTCCATTTTAATTTTACAAGCAATGTCTTAGTTTAAATCCAGTTTTCTTAAACATCTTTCCTAATTTAGTCTTTAACTCTGTGCTGCCATTAGTTTCAACTCTGATTTTTGTTATTTTGTTTTGAACATCTCCATTGATGTATTTAGGTTCCTGCAATTCAATTTATTGCACTTTACCCCAAAATTCATCTTTCTAGCTTCTTTTAAGTTTAGTTTTATGCTTCAGCTTCTATTTCGTTTTCTACGTTTTGATACTTTCGCAGCGGCATCACGCTTTCTCTTTGCAATTTAGTTTTTTCGCCATGCACTCTCTTTCTTCTCATTTCCTTTATTTTCCTCTTTTATTTTAATCAACAAACTAACATTTCGGCCCTAGTTGTGGGAAGTCCCTGATGTTCTTACAGGGCAATTATTTATGGACCTTTATGCAAGAATGCACCCTCGTTTTTGTGACAATCGTCTGACCAGGGCGCATCTCATAATTTATTTAACCGATGCTCTTCCATCGACTCGCAGTCGAGTTTCACGCTTGAAAGTAGTGAGGGTCACCGAAAATTCTTCTTTCTCACTTTGAGCAAAGTGAGTGGCACGCCTTCGCAGTTTTATTTGCCACGTGGCCAAAAAGAGAGATTTTGGAGACAACAGTAACTTTAATATTAAGACTACATTTTTAATATGTAATTCAAACTAAATTACATGAAACTCTATATATAATTATAACGTCTTGTCTGGATTTTCACAAATCCATTCCATTCCCCCAAGATTGCTCAACATTAGGGCTTTAAGAACACTGTTAGGGAGATGACTTGGGTTAGCGAGGGCACACAAATGACATTGGGTCATGGATGGCTCAAATGTAAAAACACCATTTTGAACTCAAAAAGACTAACATATTGAGTTCACGGATTTCCACGTATACGTCACTTTCTTTCAACTCTTTCTCCAATGTGAGATTTCATTCACAACTCCATCACCACTCAATGCGTGAATAAACTAAACATGTTTACATTGAAATAGGAAAAAACGAATTTTAGTAGAATTAGAGTTTATATTGAATAAAAAGAAACAGTAGAATTAAAATCTAGAATGGATAGAAAAAAAAGGGTTACATACTCAAAAATAATAAAACCCAAAGTTAACTTTATATAAAAAATAATTAGGTTTTAACTTATTTATTGGTATTTTTTTTAATTAATTAAGATGCAGTTATTTTTTTAAAGGCTTTAAGTACTGTATTGCTCAAAATTAATACCCTTCACCTATATGGTGATGGTGGGTCTATTTTAATGAGTCTCCCTTTTTGTTTCCCTATTTATTCATAAACTCTAAACCCCTTTCCTTTTTTTCCTTTTTTTTTTTCCCAAAAAGAATAAAAGAAAATGAATTTAAGAAACTAAAATAACACTAAAGTAGACAAAAAAAAAAAAAAAAAAAAGAAGATAAGAGTGTTCAAACTTTAATGTTAATTTGGCTTCCTTGACAACAACAGTAAATTTTTGTCTCACACAAAATTAATACCCTTATCTAAACAATTGTTGTTGAGTAATTTTAAGAGTTGAATTTACAAAAAAGTTAATTATGCCAACAAAAGAATTATCATTACGAGAAATTAAATTAAAAGTTGATTTTCTAAAGGTAAGATTAAAAATATTCAAATAAAAGCAACAATGATTAAAGAATGAAAAAATAATATGGTAATGAACAAGACTTTAGAATTTACTTGATTAATTTATTCAATTACTATCAATTTTGATTCTTATTTAATACTCAACCATATGTTTCACATCTCAAATAAACAATGAAAAAATATAACTTTGACAATCAATGACAATAATAAGTATTTATTCTAAGAAAAATTAATTCTGATGAAGAACTAAGTAATTTATTCCTAAAAGTTATTTGAAAGCGATAAAATATCTAAGCAACACTATTGCAATAAAGGTTCAACCCCTAAAATAATCCAACCATAAATTATATTCTTACAAATTGCCAATAAAAAGAGCATGACTAATATTATATGAATATTTATGACTATAACATCTATGTATTTCAAATTTAAAAATAATTAACAATCTCTCAAGAACAAAATTAAATGTTAAAATCTCTTAAATCTTAAGAAATCAATTAAAATAATAAGTCAAACTCATTAATTAAAATCCTATCTAGCCTTGTTAAAGGTTACTTGTGCCTTGATATGATTCTCTCTCTCTTGGGTGTAGGAAAAGAGTAATGAACAAAAGATAGGAAAAATTCTAACCCTGGTGCTTAAGATCCCTATTAATATTGGAAATAAAGTAAGAATATTTGGTAATAGAAATAGCGGAATGAGAGAATTACATTTTTTCTTCCATGCCCACTCTGATGGGACATGGGTTGGAACCTAGAAGCAAGGTGCAACGCCTCTCTTGCGATTATTTGATTTCGCTAGTCAAGTGTTGAAACCTAGGGGACAGGATCAAAAACCCCTCGTCTCTGCCCTTATGCCTTTTGAGCGTCAGGTGTTGGAACCTAGAGATTGGCTCCAACATCTCGTGGATCTTTAACCTAACGCACTTTGACCTTTGCAAAAAATTGAAGAAAATCCTACACCAAGCAGGGGCTGGACACCTCGTCTAGACAGCCAGCGCCAGCAACAGAGGGCCGTTAGCGGGATCACCACAACATTAGAGATTTTTAGGCCCAACACTTGAGCCCAACCAATTTTTGCTACACACACCAGATTTTTTTTTTTATTTTTTATTTTTGGTATTTTTTAAAAAAATTATTAAAAAAAAAAAAAAAAAACAGAAGAAAAGAACATAAGCAAACTGACCATTCCCTAGCAGTTTTTGCAATACACCTGCAAACAAAGAAAAGTGAAGACCGAGGATATCATTGCCTTCAAAAAACAAGGAAAGAAGATGAAGACAATATATACATGCAGATTTCATTCAGAAGAATACAAACTTGCATTAGCTTAAAAATGAAGAGATGAGATCTGCATGATCCACTAAATTACCATCTACCTCTCCCATTAAAAAGGCAGCTCTGTCGAGTGTAGGATATGGTATAGGCGAACTTGGGCAACAGCACAGGTTACAGACTTATATCAATCAAGCGAGGATAGAGATTTTGTTTGAAATGATTTATACAGATTGAGCCAGTGGGGAATAAATTACACAGATTCTCTACGTTTACAAATTACACACATAAATTCTCTACGTTTACAGACAGCAGTGCTGTTACAAAATTAAGGAAGAGTAAACCTGCAAAATTTTAGGACTCAACTATGATGCCAATTTTTGAATTGCCATCTCCTTGAGTGAGGTCACTAATCTGTGGAATACCTTAAGACTGTGCCCTAATTTATCCTGGAAATCAAAAGCAAAGCAACAAAACAGAAGAGAAGTAAATGTTAATGCATATTCCTAATATTCAAAGCAAAAGAATAACTTCAAGAGTTGCATAAGGATCGCATATGACTCGGGCTGACTTATAGAGTTTGATTGTCAAAGTTAAATTGGGATGGAAACCTTGAAAAGTACTAGGAATTAATGAAATTTATATGAAGGAATTCCATAATCTGGTATTCTTTTATCATCATTTTTTTTCTTTGAAAAAATGGTTTAATCATCTTAAGGTGTTACTGAAACCATATATTTATCTTGGCCACTGTTATTTCCATAATATTGGACTGTGCATCTCAATCTTTCAAAAGTAGTTCCTATTCTTCAATATATAAAAGAATAATGCGTGCTAGAATAAGAATAGTGTGTACTACCATATATGTATACAAAGTAGTTTCTAAACTTAAATAAAAAGAGCTTGAGCACCCAGGATGCTACTGTAGATATGCTGGAATTAGAATGATCACATCCCTAGAATCTAAGCAGTTATCAGGAAAGCAGAATACCTCATTCAGTAACTCAAGTCGTTCTAAGATTGGAATTAACTTTCCACACAACAAAGAGATATCCTGTCCAGAGTCAGATTTGGCACCATATGTGATGGTTTTTACTGTTCCGCTGGTATCAGAGATGATGGAGCTGCCACAAAAGACAATTATTGATGAAAATAGAAGACTACTTGCAATAGTAATAGAACACAAATGGAAAAGAAATTGAAAAAAACAATGACGTTAAAGTGAGCCACCATGGCCACACAACTAAAGGAAATTGAACACCCAGATTTGTTCTTTTCTTTTATCAAGTAAAAATGGCAATACAAACACAATAAAAAAGGGTAAAATAGAAATACAATTATAACGTCAACTAGAGAATGAATAAAAATTCAAATATTCAACATAAATGCTTGAGAAAAAGACACCATATACCTTTACCCTGTCCCCTTATGTTTTTCCTCAGGCAGAGGAATTGTGAATGCGAATCCCTTTTTTTCATTTTTTATTTTTTATTTAAATTTTTCTGCCCATAATCTCCTGGAGATTGTTAAAGGCAAACATTTCAGAATTGCAACAACAAATAAAAATTTTTAGTGCATATCTCTTTCAGAAATTTCCTAAAATTTTGCTCTGTTCCATTTCTCCAGTTTTCCATAAACATGCTCATCCAAGACGTAGGCAAAATGATACAGATCATATTGAAAAATAAACTATGAAAATGTACCTATCCTGAAAATGGATGACAATGACATTCAACACTTGCTCTGCAAGAAGAAGTAGTAGGGTAACTAGCTGATCTCTATTACCAGCAACCTGGCACATTTCCACCATTGCAATATATCTCCTGCAAAACAAACCAACCAGAGGTTGAAACCACATGAAGACCCAGATTGCGCAATTATTCATTTAACCTTAGTTTCTGATGAAATTAGCTCATGAACATGCATCACATATAAAAATATATGAAGGTAAGCAAAGCAAATTAACTACAGGCTACCCCAACCCCCCAAACAGAAAATGCATCCCATTCAAACTATAGGCAATAACAAACCCTAGATAATTTCTGTCAAGTAGGTTATCACACATCAGTTTAGCATCTCCAGTGGCCTCATAAACAACCAATTGGTTTTAAGTTAGATGCCTCCTCACACATTTTTGTCTCATTCCCCTTTAAACTGGAATAATAATAATAATAATAATAATAATAATAAAAGCCCAAAAAGATTAGTTTCACATTTGAACAGCAGACAATACACTATGAGATATTCTAAAAACTGAAAAAACAAAGATTAAAGAACAAATGCAAGATTAAGGGCACAAGTTTTATGAATGTCATTTTTAATAAGATATAGAAACATGGAAATTTAATTCCATGTTCAATACCTTTTCTGCAAGTCATCAGAAGATGAAACAAAATCTTTCTGAACATACAAATTGATGACTTTGTCCACCTCCTGTCTTGAAAGTTCATTTATATCTCGTATCTGCAAACAGTAGAAATTAGATATTAAGCAAGCATGTAGATACAAACCTTACCTAGAATTTGGGATGAAAAAAAGAGAAAGAAAGAGAAAGTTCACAAGCTAGAGAGGGAAGTTGCTTCCAGAAAAAGTTAGCATTTACTTTAAGACCTTATTAACTAGTATGGTTTTTTCCTCAGCTGCTTTTTCGAGAGAATTTGTCACAGAATTAAGAAGAGAACAAAGTAACATTAGTGTTGGTTGCTGCCGGGCAGGAGCAGGGGAATCTGGATGGTCATCCGAAACCTGTAGCAAGTTGGTCAAATGAGAACTATTTTCTTGTGTAATGAAAGTAATGTTATGAAAAAAAAGGCTACAATTATTGAGAGGTGTAACTGTAATGAAAATAATCATATTAAATGATGGCTCCATCTATAGAAAGTTAAAACTAACTCAACCATAGAACACATACCTGCAGCTTAAGGGATTTCTTTGTAACCAAAAAATATAGATACGAGCTTAGGCTAAAGCATAACCGAAAAGAGCTCAGTTCTGACTGCTGCCGATTCTGATGATTAATATGACAAGACAGAAAACAAAGAAAGCAAAATCCAGCTCAGCAAACATTCATAATGAGACTGTTCTTTATTACCAAAATAATAATAATAATGAAATTGTTCTTCTGAAGTAACCTCAAGAATAGACATAAAATACCTCAAGAGATTGTGCTGAACGTGAAAAACCAGGTGTCTCCAAATCATTTGAGAAAAGAACATGCATCATGCCAAAAAGCCCTTGAACAAAGCCATACTCATCACTTTCTTCGTAAGGCCAAACCTAAAGATAAAAGAACAGACTTATCATTACTTGATTGTACCTAGGTAAGTATAACATTTACCCCCTGTTTGGAAACAGAGGAGAGGGGAGCAGAAGGGAAGGGAGGGAAATGGAAGGAAACCCATCAAAGGAAATTAAAGCAAAATAAAGGAAAGCCCTTCCTTCCCCTCCAATTTTTTGTTATCCAAATAGGGAAATTTCTCCCCCTCCCCTTCTCCCCCCCAAAAAAAAACCATACAAGCTATTAAGAAGAGAAGTGAGCATCTTAAGAACCACCATAAAGCAAAGCAACCAAGGATAGTTTTGAATTCCTAAACTAGCTTCAAATCGAAGCACCCACCTATCAAGTGATATTACCATGGTCCATGGAACTCAACTGTTCAAAAGAATAAAAGCTAGTCTAAAATCAAAATCGTTTGCTCCCTCCCTGTTACCTCTACGCTACTAATCCTGGAAATGTTTTAAAAGAATGTTTCATGTGTGTGTGTTGTTCTACTTTTTTTCACCTAGTTTTTTCTCCTTTTCTTTTGACTGAAGAATCTTAAGGTTCTCACCTTGCTAAGTACACCAACGATAAGATTGATGTGCTCCATCATCAGTTCATCCGCTTCAGAAATATCTTGCCAAAGGACTTGATCAAAGAGAAGTTGGTGTCCTTTAATAAAATCAATGACTTCACGAACAATTTTATTCTTCATCTATGACACAAGAAGTTGCCCAGAAGTGTGAAATTAAGAACTCAAGGACTGATAGTCTAAGTAAAAATGTCCACTACAAAAGTAAGATATTCCAATTAAAAGATTTGAGGCATGGCTGAATTGCAATTATCAAACAAGCTAGCAAAACTGAAGTTTAGGTAATCAAAGATGTAGGCTCATTTGAAGTAGAAGTTGAAAGTATTGAAAAGATCGAGAAGAGAAGAAACCTAAAGCAGTCACTCGCACACACAAAATTGATGCTTGCATGTAAAAGGTACAATACTGCACACCTATCATTCTACACATCAGGATAAGTTCATTGGAAACCATAGGCACCCTGACTGGATGCTAGTGAGATTTCAATATTATATCAGACACCAATTCTCCTTTTAGTCTAAAGGGCAATTTTCCTTGGTAGTTTATTTCATTAGTTTAAAAATTAGCGATTTTTGCATAAATATTAGACTGCAGAGCTATAAATAATATCTTAATAAATCTCAATCTGCTCATCATGAGAATCAAGTAGCTGGATTTTGGTAATTGAAAAAGAAGTTGACCTCAAAAAATTCAGACGTCTCAACCAATGAAGTAAGAGAGAACACTAATCTCAGCATAGGAGCTACAATCATTCGCTGTTTGTCAATGTCCACTGCCACATCTCTTCTAAGCTTTGTGTCAACCCTCCTCAAACCTCCCTGGTGGTAATTTAATTCTAATCAGATACCAACTTAAGTTAAAGACCTAAAAGAAATCAGCCTTCAATGTATTTTCACCTGCAAATGTGTTGCCCTGCATGAAGAAAGATTCTCCAAAGCACCCATGGAAAATAAAACCTGGGCTCCAGATTTTCCATACTTGTGGCTGATCCTCAGAAGAAACGCAAGTTCAGCTTCAAGAGTATAAGCCCGCTGCAATGAGTCTAGTGAATGTCCACCCTCCTGAAATAGAAATATTAAATTTTATGATTATACAAGCCAAATTTCCACAAGACGAGCAAGGGAGAGTATTATTTCTTTAAAGAAAATCCTCAATGGAAGATTGGACCATTGGAAGCAACCAACCAGAGTTTTCAGAGCAATAAACAGAAGTAAATTTTTGGTTTCAAAACCATGAGAACCATCAGATAGATCTATAGTTACACAAAAACAGTGAAAGAAACTAAAAGGAAAAATATAACTTAAATAAAATTATCAGATAGCTCTGCAGTTTCATAACCATGACAACAAATGCAATTGATCAGAGAATGATTGCATAGAAAATGCCTCAGACTGATTTGGGACAAGGGTGGAAGGCAGAATTATCTAATGCACTCTTTTTGTTTTTAATCCAGCTATCAATATATACCTGATATGAAAAATTACTGATGCTCATAAAGCAAGTCCTCAAAAAGCCTCTACTTTGAAGTTGACTTAAGAAATATCTCTCGTGATCGACACAAATTAATGCATCCAGGACATAAAGTGCTATTGTTTTCCCAGGTTCACTGCCTTGACTTGCATCTTTTGTCACCTGAAGATTAAATTGGACGGATGTGAAAGCAATGTCAGATTGTCAAGGGGCCACAATTCAAATTCATAACAAAAAATAACTTCCCATCAATGAGAAGTTTGACTTGAGAAAAATAGGTAACAGAAGAAAAGTAAACTAGACTATAACAAACATATAGAAAATGATAAAAGAAGATAAATGGCCATTATCAAATCATTGGATTCATGAATGGCTCCATCAAAGCAGCAGAAAATTACAAACCATACTTTACAAAATACATTACCCCAATTTGAGGGTACTGCACTGCCAAATCAACCTAAAATACGTGACATATGCAGAGACATTATTTGCCATGTGCAGATATGATGCCAATTTACAATATAGTTTAGCTTCTAATTGTTCATGGTAGAAGGTCCACAAAGACTGAAACAATGATGGATAAATAGCAACATGATTCTTAAATATCTTCCTTAATAGAATTAAAATCTTCCATGGCTCAAATCTTATACAAAAATAAAGTAGAGTTTCTTTTTAATTACAGTTTGCATCACAAGAAAGTAGATCTTAGTTCCCAAAACACATATTGCCAAAAAACAATTTGAACTTTATGAATTGTGCAATTCATTCAATTAAGTCAACCCTAAGTAGTTGGGGATTAAGGTCAGGTTTAGTTCAACTGAGTTTCCTAATAATAAAACCTACAAAAAGATGAAAACAAATAAGATACCCACCAAATCCAGGATAGCTTGGGCCTCTTTTCTCAATATAGAAAAGTTGGCATGAGCTAGTTCTGCTTGTTCTTTGTCAACCTGCAAAAGGGGCACAGCATTGACGAGAGATTAGAACATTCTTCAAGAATCATAAAAATGGAGCAATCGACTGAAAGAGATATTAGGATATTATTTTAGAACTATTTTAGAACTACATGCCTTTTGGAGATCTGAATCTTCACCATCTTGCTCATCAAGTAACAAGAATTGCAGAATTGTTATTGGTATATTAGGAGAAAGAATATGCTGGCAATACTGGAAATAGCTAAGAAGCAAGGCATATTGGCTGAAGATAGAAAAAAAATCAGTTACCATCTGAAAGGGAACAAGAAAAAAAAAGGGTACAACGAGAGAGATGATACTAGATTGCTGAAAGGTACCATACCGTCTCCTCAAGGCTTCCGACGATTCATGTCTTAGAATGGCCATGATAAGCTTGAACAATATAGAATAACAAGCACCATTTGATAATTGTTTCACCGTGATAATATCAAGAGATGTAATGCTATCAGAATTTAAACCACTGGGACATAAAAACCTATCATCACGTAGCTTGGCCATGCATGTTAGTCCAACCTAGCAACATTCTCATCACAAATATGAGAGTCACAACAAATGGCATAAATGGAAATCCAAACAGTAAGTTGAGGAGTTGAGTGAGGATTTATTACCTGGCTCAATATAAAAGCCATTTTCAAGGAGCAGTCAGGAGAGGCAGAAGCACCAAGAGATGCATCAAGAATTCTGAAAATGGCCATGTGAAAATTACATATTATCCAAGATAAAGAAAGAAACAGGCTAATAGTGATATGGGGCCATACTGATATAAAATTTCAGATTGATTTTCAAGTGATGAAATTCGTCTTGATGCAGACACCTGTCAATTCAAGTAGTCCAGATAAACAACATAAATAGCGTGAATGGTAATTTAAAACAGAACTAGATCTTAAAAAACCAATCAAAAACAGCATACCTCAACAATCTGTGACCAACCAGTTAACATATGGAGCTGGGCAGCCTGTTCCTCAAGGTTTCTGTTGTACCTCCATGCCCATCTCAACAACTGCTGAATTGCCTCTCTTACCTCATTCAGCTCAGCTTCACTGCCAAAGTTACTCAACTGAGGATAGACAGAATTGAATTTCTGAAATAACAAGGTCAGATCAGTTAGATGGCAATCCCCTAATCCCTATAGAGGTTTAAAAAACAGCAGATTTACAAAACTATGATGCAAATATAGACCACCATTGAAAAGAAATTTCAGGTAATTGGAACCAACCTGCCAAAGTTTGTCACGCAGTGAAGCAAGATCAATTAGGCGATCACCCCGCTCAGAGTAGTAATATATTCCACCCTTCCCTGAAGTTGCTGGATTGCTGAGTATGTCCTCTGCCTACAGAGGTAGTTATAATCAAATGTTTTATAGAGGAATATTAAAGTACCACAATAGGTAGCTAGAATCCTACCAGCAAATCATATTTGATATTGGAGACAATTTGAGAAAGCTTGATATTGGTATCTGGTGATCTGAATTGCACAACTTCAAGCAACTCTAAAGCCTATGTTTGATTTAGATCAATGAGAAGAACAGTTGAGTTTGATAAAAAAAAAAAAATAATACAGAGAATATTCGTTCCCAGAGAAAACATACATGCATGTGAATGTCTATTAGCAACCACCAATACCTTATTCTTACTGATAGTTTTGGTTCCAGCATGTTCCTTGCTGCTTTGAAGAGTAAATGAATGAGAAATCATGTTGGCCCCAACTTCAACAATATCCTGCCCAAAAAGATGAGCAAGGATATTCTGACACGCCTCTCTATGGCTGAAGCTACTCATATAGGCAGCATGCAACTCAATAGCTAAAAGCTTCAATAGCCATGCTCTCTGCAAAGGTAACAACAAAGTAACATAAACAGAAGCTATACAAAAAAAAAAAAGGG